CATCGTCCATATCTTTCTTGTTAAAAAAAAGTACATAGCTCATAACTCCATACTAAGATAATGCGTGTAATTAACTGTAGGCTCTCATAGCTTGCTCCTTGTGCAAATTAATAATTTGTTTGAATTACTTTCTGATTGTTCTTCTTAATTCTGAAGACGGGAATGGTTTGTGCTTGTCACTGCTTTGTCCCACATCTTAGCATTATTTCTTATTAGTTTTCTACTTGTCTTAGACTGTTCTAGTTGAGCCTACGAGTGGAAACACAGGCATTGGGCTTGCCTTCATTGCTGCTTCCAGAGGATATAAGCTCATCTTAACGATGCCTGCGTCAATGAGTCTTGAAAGAAGGGTCATTCTAAAAGCTTTTGGAGCTGAACTTGTTTTAACTGATCCAGCCAAAGGGATGAAAGGAGCTGTTTCAAAGGCTGAAGAAATATTGAATAACACACCAGATGCCTATATCCTTCAACAATTTGACAATCCCGCCAACCCCAAGGTTCTTCTGCAAACAGCTCACTCTTTATTTTATGTTGTGGCAATTTATGATACTCCATAAGTGAATGCTTATTATTTGTGACTAAATGGCTTCTACAATTTGCCTTAATCAATTTACACTTCTAATGGCCATTGTGGTGATTAATTCTCCATGGTGCCAATCCCAATCATTGTATATTCAATGTAATTGTAAAGAGTGAGTAGCGACTAAAAAGAACTCTATATGCATGTCAGATTGGATATCTAACTATCCTTCCATTCCTTCTTTTCCATTCTCACCCGACACAACACTCCGGCGAAGAACAATCGGATCTTCATTTCCCAATGGGTCTGCAGAGCTTCATCCCAAAATTTTCTTTGTTTTGTATTTGTTTTATTAACAATTACTCTAGTTGTTGACATCATCTTTCAACAAGAAAAAAAGAAGAGAAAACTGGAGTACTCAGCTTGCTACCAATTACCGGCAAGTAATTTTGATATATGCTGGATCGCAAATGCAACAATAACGTGATTTAAAGTCAAATATTAGTTTCTGGCAGTTGCTGATTTTCATCTTTACTCTGAATTGTTATCTGAAGTTTCATATGCTAGCATGTAAGTTGAATTTGAAAGCATCCATTTCATGGTTTCCAATTTGTGCAATCAAAAAGATTCAAAATCAAACCAATACTTCTTTCTTTTCTGTTATCCTTTAGACATGAAAGAGGAGGAGAAGAAAAGATGAAGAGGAAAGAGCCAAGTTACCTGGAGGAAACATTTGGGATGAGTTCGATAAGGAAAGAAATAGACCGTACCAGTAGCTTGAGAAAGAGACAAGAGAGGGGCTATAAGCAAATAGTTAATTAGGGTGGCTGATTCGGAAGAGGAAGTTTTGGGTGTTTAGACATTTTTTGTTGAGAAGACCTGAAGTCTACTATTTAAAATATGGGCATGTGTTTAAATTGATATTTAAGGAAAACAGAAAAAGGGTACAATGTTAACTTACTAAGTTCAAGTAGTAGGTTAACAGGACCTTTACACACACATGCTAACCTTGTTACCTCTCTTTCCCCTCCCCTCAACTCCTCCGGGTTTTTTCCGTAAAGTGTACAGTATTCTCGAGTTTACAGATTATGACTTTCATTTGCTTGTATGGTGCAGATACACTATGAAACAACGGGTCCAGAGATCTGGGAAGACACAAAAGGCAAGATTGACATACTTGTTGCTGGCATTGGAACTGGCGGAACCATTACAGGAACAGGCCGATTCCTTAAAGAGCAAAATCCAAACATTAAGGTATCAATAATGCTCGAAAAATAAGTTGCATTCTGTAAGTGTAGCTCTGAAGTTCATGCATATGTCAGTTCATTGACTTCTAAAATGTGAAAGAAACATGGGATGGAGCAAAATGCTGAGAAAGTATCCCGACACAGTTGATATGAAGTGCTCTTGACTCTTTTTCTATTGCTTTTTGTTGCCTTTATCAGATTATTGGTGTGGAGCCCACAGAAAGTAACGTTCTATCTGGGGGCAAACCTGGTAAGATAACATTCAGATGTTGATCTGACTTTTCGCTTTTGAAGTTAAATCCTGTTTTGTTCTACTTGCTGCATTGTGAAAGTGCAGGCCCTCACAAAATTCAAGGGATTGGAGCAGGTTTTATTCCAGGAAACTTGGATCAAGATGTAATGGATGAAGTGATAGAGGTCACATTCTTATCCATCCCCATTAAAAACATTTTATTTCATCTTCTTTAAACTTGTGAAAATTGAAAAGTATGAAAGATTTAATGTGTCATGCATACTCATTTCTGATTTACATGACTAAGAATCTTCCATCTCAAATTTGGTGTACCTGTAATTGAACCTAAATCCACATTTCTGTTCTTGTGCACCAATATGCGATTTCAAAGTAATCCTACCTTTTACTATATGTACCCCCCACCCCTTCCCCCTGATTCTCAGTCAATTTGTTAAGTCTGTCTTCCCATCCAACACTATTTCAGTTTCCCTCGAGTTATCCTGGAACTTCTCTTAGAGTCAAAATTGAATGGAATATGTATTTCTTCTGGTAAAACAAGGATGAAAAATCTGACATACTTTGCCAAGGTAACAACTAATTGAGCACATATAGCTATTCAAACAGTTCATTCCACTTTATTAACCTGGCAATACAGTTTATATAGCGATAGTTCATTCATTTGGCACACTTCCATTCTGTGCTACTCTACTAGAACATCTCTTATCCCTTGTTAAATTTCGTTAGGAAACAAGTTATCCCGATTATCAGCTATATAACAGTGTACAAGCCTATGTAATTTTAATATTGAATAAAGAATTTTTCCTTGTAAGTTTTGTTCCTTAGTTATAACTAGGTGAATATAGTGTATCCAATTAGGTGTATGAGCTTAAATCTGGATGTCCTTCTACAAAAAAGTTCACCAGAAACACATTATTCAAGAAATCTGTCATCTTTCAGTGTGTTTACTCATTTTCTTGAATTTTCAGATATCGAGTGACGAAGCTGTTGAAACTGCGAAGCAATTAGCCCTACAAGAAGGGTTGTTGGTTAGTGCTTTTCCCGAATCTTCATATCAGCTGATTTTTGAGATAGTTTTAAATGAAGCTAAACTTCAAATGTCGATTAATTCATCTACGTTACAGATTGTGGATACATCATAGAAAATTAGAAACCTTATAAGTGGTCGAATTTCAAGTAGTCATGCTCCAATTTTAATTTGTATGTACAGAACTATGCTTTGAATGATTTCTGAATCAGAATATATTAAGTGATCTTTTCTATTTTTCATGATCAGGTTGGGATTTCTTCCGGAGCAGCTGCTCTTGCTGCCATTCAAGTTGGAAAGAGACCTGAGAATGCAGGAAAGCTTATTGGGGTATGTTCAATCTTTACTTGTGAATTTTTCCGACACGTGTATTTCCATGCTCCTTCATTTCCTTTTTCTTCTACCTCATCAAGCTTTAGTATTCGTTTTCCCCTTCACTTATTACAAAGTAAATCATCCCTCCATTCATTTTCACCGAAGTTTATAGATTTAATAGCTCGGCATTGTTAAAAATTTCCTTTTGAGTTAGTTGCATGTCATCGTAGGGGCCTCACTTGTTTAGAGTCCTTGAACTTGTTCAACATTTCTCTTGGTAGGTTGTATTTCCAAGCTATGGGGAACGATACCTCTCCTCTATTCTTTTCCAGTCAATAAGAGAGGAATGCGAGAACATGAAGCCAGAATTGTGAAGATCTTCTGATTCTTAATAAAATGCTATCTGGCTTATCTAGCTGCCACACTTTTGCTTGTTATATTTAGTTGGCTGCTGGTGTATACAATAGATCAGGTATTAAGATTGTTCTCTTAACAACAATCTCATCGATTCGGCTTGACGTTTTTTATTCATTTGAATTGATCATGAAATTTGAGTGAAATTTCATCGCTGTTTGAATCTTTCAATTTCGTTTTTGGTTTTACCTCTGTGAAGATGAAGATGTACTTTGCTACCTGGACATTGAAGTTGGAATCCTCTTTAGACCATGTTCTTTAGATCCTGCAACAACTCTAGTACTCCCTTTGTTTTAATTTATTTGTTAGGTTTTTGACTTAAAACAGAGTTTAAGAAAGTGCATAAGACTTACTTTGAATCTTGTTGTTTTAAATTAAAAATATGTAGAATGTATCAAAATATTCTTTAATATTGTGATTTTAACCTCATCTTACATGAAAAGTTAATACTAAAGAAATAAGCAAATTAAAATGGAAATTTGAATCTTGTTATTTTAAATTAAAGATATGTAGAATGTATCAAAATATTCTTTAATATTGTGATTTCAATCCTATTTTACATGAAAAGTTAATACTTAAAGAAATAAACAAATTAAAATGGAAAGTAAAAAAGACAAATTGACATAGCCATGTTAGTCATTTTGTATTTTTTGTAGGGCAACTTTCACATATAACAAACAAAAAATTCATATTTGTATAATATAGCAAATTTTGCATAATTGTGCTCCATAGCAAACATAAAAACTGTATAATTCGCTATACATATACAAGTGTATAATTTGCTGGCCTATTTCGCTGCAATTGTATAATTTGCTTTGCATATAGTTGAATCGAATTAAAATGTATGTATATTACATAATTATAAGTTTATAGCAAAAAGATATATGTTTTTCTCGCTTTATACAAAAACAGAAACACAATATATACACTTTTGTTGTATAAAGCTAGAGAAAATTGTATTTCACTGCAATTGTATAATTCGTTGGTCATTTTCTCTGCAATTTTTGAAGTAAAATGTTTGTAAATTGTATAATTAAGTGCATAACACGAAGATATACATTTTTGCATGTGTATATACAATTTTCTCTCGTTTTATACAAAACAGAAACAGAATTATACACTTCTGTGTATAAAGCGAGAGAGGCGAGCGAGAATGGAGAGTGGCGAGCGAGATTCCTGGGAAAGAGATGCTGGCAAATTTTAGATAATGTTTGTTATGGAGCACAATTAAATCAAACCCTAGCTATTCTATTTAATTTAGGTTATTAGTTTCCTATATTTATACAATTTTCCCTTTTTTATATAAGACATTTATATAAGATATACAAGATGTGACAACTTGTGTTTACGTACTTTGGAACATGAATTTTAACAAAATAATATTATAAAAAAATATAATATATGTATTAGAGAAAAGACACCTCAACTCTGTACGCGTTTTATTATTTCATAATTATTTTTCTTTGAATATCTTTGTGAAGGGTCATTTTGACCCATTCCCTTACCATTAGAGAAACTCCTTTTGTCACCAAACTAATAGGCTTCAGATATATCACACACATTTGTTGTAAAACTCTGAGCAATATGGTTAACAACTACTAGTACAAGATAAAATGCAAGAACCGCGACATTTATAGCTACTCAACGATCCGATTTTATTAGTATTTCTTGTGACATTGTTTAAGATAAATACACAACAAACAAGACTTTCTTTGCTTAAACATGTCCATGCTCCTGCACCTCCTAATTCATTACTCTTTTAAGTCTTATCAAATGAAAAATGAAGCTTTGAAGTCTCATGTACTTCAAAGCTTGGCCATCAAACCAGTGGTAGTGTGTTTTGCTACACTAGTACTTTCCGTGACATCGCTGTCTCTGGTTTCTGAGTCACATCCAGAAGGCGGAGGAACATCAACAGCCGGAGAGCAGTTAAAGAATCCATGGGGCTGCACCAACACATACACGAAATAAGCAACAGATAGTGATGGAGATAGGTAACATAATATGCATTACCTGAAGCATAAAACCAATGTGTTCCACTGGCATAACAGGCCAATCTTCCAACCTAGGAACGTGTGTGATTCCAAAAATGTACCTGAAACAAACATTGAAAACGCGTACTCTTTGATCCTTACATAGGTTTGTTATTGATGTACATATAACGTTCCATGTCTAGATTGCACTAACGTAGTATAACTTGTTGTCGAGAGAGAACTAACCAGAGGACAGTATCACTTTCTTCCAGAGGACGGTCTTGCTTAACCCAAGAAGCTAATCCTTCGCCAGCACGGGGATTTTGATTAGGAAACTCTCCTCCTGGAAAATCTTCTCCAGGTGCATACTGTGTTACCCATAGATTGTGCTTCAGAAATGCAGCCCTTCGCATAAATTTTGCCTCTGGACCAGCCAATGGCAAACAGTTTGGACCAGGTACAAGCTTGTATCCTGTTAGTTGTCCTGTTCTATTAACTGTTCTGGTATTCCGAACCTACAAATCAGAAAGTTCATATTCAAATTTATGCAACACAAATCGGTGTTAAGATTATGCAAGGATAAAGACTCTTACAATCCAATGACGAGCAGAGAATGGATCACAATCGCGCATTGCTTGCAATTCAGACCTAAGCAATGTTTCTTCAGCATAGAATGCATTATTATGAACATTTTCCTTCCCAGGTTCTTCAACTTTAACATTTACTTCAACAACCTAACAAAATAATTATAATTACTGTTGTGAAGAAAAAATAAAAATTCATTTAAATCACACTAGCTAGATATATACCTGATTGTGTGCTTCTCCAGGCTTACAATCAACTGCCATATTCATTCGTGCTACGAAGAAATGTTGATGAACTGGTGCATACAATCCTGGTGCAATTGTTGTACCATATTTGCGATATTCTCCAGGTTGCAATGCTCCTAAACTAAGAATTCCCGTGAGTTTAACTTCTGCTTCAATTTTCCCATCCTGAAATTCCATAGTATTGTACAAACAGTTTGTAAAATGTTCAAAGTAAAGGGTATTGATATTTCAATCGTCGTGATGATTTTCTTTAACTTGCCTGATAAAAGTGCCAGTAGAATGCATATTCGTAGTTGGCAACTGTACAAACAAAAGACACTGTCAATCGTCTTGAACGTCTAACTTCAGCAAGGCCACTTCTCCAATCTTGATGCTTCCAAAGCATTCCATGATCTTCTTCATGCAAGCATACACAATTCTCTGTTGTTTCAACTCCGCCTGTGAAGTTTGTAAAATGGGCATCGAAGTACTTTATGTATCCTAAACAATCGCATCCCTGCAAAAAAATTATTTTTGTTGTAGTACATAAGCGTCGAGAAAATTGAAAACGTGTAACGTTTAGATCATAGATTAGTAACTGACTCTCTTGAGTGAATGAGCATTCTTTCCGAGACCATCTTCTCCTGCATCAAATGCATTCTTTCTATAATGCGGATCATTTGGATCTCCATAGGGAACAACCATCTCCACGAAACTCAATCGATGTGCTATGGGTCTACGACCTCTGCTACCATCAAGATATGCAACAGAGTGTATAACTAACCCCTCTCTCGGGGTGAAACCTATCCGAAAGTTCCACTGCCACACAGAAATGAAGAATGTCAATGTGATGTTTAAAGCCAAAGAAGAGAAAACACAGTCATGTTTGGTAAACTACATGGACGACGAATGATATAGATTGATAACTATCCTGTCAAAGAATGCTTCATAAAAAGTAAAGTTTGAAAAAATTGAGAATACCTTTTGCCATTCTACATAGTTCCCACTAATACGAAAGCTTGGACCCTCGGGCTGAATAATATGCAGGGGTTTTACATCACTTCGATCAACCCCTCCTCTTGTCTCACCAGCTGTATAATTCCTCAATGGATCAACTGGAGGTAACGGGACAAGTTTTCGATCTTCAAATTCTATGATCTGCATGTTTTGCACATCAACAAGCACATGTATTCCTTCAACTGGTCTTGCATATCCATTTTCCATCGGGCAATCGCTCTCCGATCTGCAGAATACTAGTGGTTTTGCAAGCCTACGGTTAGGAGCATCCGCCTCACTATGATAACCAACACACCTGTCGGAGAGTATACATTCATGTTAAGATACTATAGAGAACAGAATTCTTAACAGACGCGGATTTTAACTAACCAAGGATCAACCATCACGAGATCCATGTCATCGATATCCCTTCTCTTCATTGCTTCTCTGAAGGGCGGATAATTCTTCACCACGGCTTCACATTCAGCATATTCTTGAGCATCCTAAAATTAGAACATTTCACTTAGTTGACACACAACACTAATTGGACAGGATGACTTGTTTTTCTAAAACGTCAAGTATTTTGAAACAAATTCAGTTTGCTAAGACGACATATAAAATGATTTGAGTTTAAGTGCCTACTATAGGTGGTTGAACATCTGGTACAACATTAGATGAGATAACTTTTCCCCTATGATGTCCGCCACGAGCAGCAGCATGTACTTCAGTTAGCTCAACAATCCATATGCTTGTCTCATTTGTTTTCTTATTGTAAACGATGAGTCTAGCTCTCCTCGGAGGAAGTTTAGTCGGAATTAGAGATCCTCCTTTGGTTCGGGGCATCAACGATGATTGGAAAGGTGGGAAGAAATATGCATCAGCTAAAGCAACAACACTTTTATCTGGTTCCAATAGAACCACCTCAATAAATCGCATTCCATCTCTGACCTGAAATATTGTAAGTCGCGAAGTGGCCTTGATCAGAATATCTACGTACTAAAAATAAGTTGGACGTACACAACTTATCGATGTATAATAAATCGAGTAAGAACCTCAGGCGTTTCACCGGCAGCTCTAACGGTTGCAACAGCTACAGAGATCTCAGCAGCAGATAAAGGATCCAAAGGATGGCAAGTTTGAGCCCTTAGCATGATTTGGATACCTGCACCAACAACATTGAATCTTTTAATTTTACTATTTTCAACATTCTCATGTTATATTTCTAAGATAATATTCTTGTTCGTTCATTTTACTTGTCCATGTTTCACTAGGCACACACTTAAAGAAGTAGTAATTGATAAAATGATAATTTTATTATTCTTTGCGTGTATCTTTAGTTGTTCAATATTTATTTGGCACACTCATTAACGAGCAATGAATAAAATGACAATTTTACTTTGAATATAATTTGGAAAATGCATAAGTACCCCTCCCTCCCAACCTATTTTCGAAATCCCAGAGACAGACTCATACTCTACTAAAGTCTATTACTCCCTGAACTTATTTTTAGTAAATAATTTTCTATCTCTTTTCGGCCTACGTAGGCACTATAAACCAGATTGCTTGAAAAAATTGTCAACACACGCTGCGGCCCAGAAGATAGTGTCACATAGGCCGAAAAACGAAAGAAAATTATTTATAAAATAAGTTCAAGGGGTAATAGGACCTTAATGTAGAATGAGTGAATCTCTGAGATTTCGGACATTGATTGGGGGTACTTGTGCATTTTTCCTATAATAAATTTAATGTTTTGAAAAATATTTGTAGTTAATAAGGTAAAGTATGAATTTAAGAGTTCGTTTGGTACGAGGGATAGTTAATTGCAAATTAATTTTGGAATGAACTTATCCATGTTTGGTTGGGACAAAATCGCAAGATAACTTATCTGGGGACACCAATCCTGGGATTGTAGTGTTACTTTTCTATTTGTTTGTCTTTTTTTCTAGGTCTAATTCATTGGTAGTCCCCTAAAGTTAGTTTTAATTTTCACTTGGACACCTCAACTGAGTGAGTCAATATCCTAATGGTCACCCAAGTTAAAGAGAATTGTCTTGAAATATCAATTATGTTTCATTTAGGATCAAAATATCATTTAACTATCACTATTTTCCTCTAAATATATTTGACACTTTAAAATTATTACTCTCTCATAGTTGGCATGACATGTCATAAAAGTTTTTTTAATAATAGACTAATTAATTCATTGTACCTATTTAACTAAACTAATGATCATATTATTTTTACTTTATTTTGATCTTGTAAGATCTTTTATCAAAATTAAACTTTTTATTTTTTATGTTATGAAAAATACATTTTTAAAATATACTATAATTTTATTAATTTTGAGTACTTATAAACACATGCATGCAAAAAAATATTTATACACAAATCACTCATAAACACTAATTTACATCAATTGATCATAAGTTGTATAACAAATCAATACTATCAAAAGTCAATTAACTATTACAATAATATTAATTGTATACTTTGCAATTCATGTTTCCGATATTTATTTATTTTTTTTGAAAAAAAAAGAAGAAGAAGAAGAAAGTGAATAATATTATATTTTTTATCTATTAGAAATACTAAATACCTCAAAAGTCTCCTTAAATTCTAGTTGATATGCCCTGTCATTAAATAATCATTTAGAAAAAATAATAGACCTATTTAATGCATCAAACTTATGTCTCTACAAAATAAATATATAAATTACATGAGAATTTATGATGATAATAAGAAAAGTAATTTAAAAAGTCTAATAACTTTATATATTGTTACCAAACAAAATTCAATGAAAAAATCTCTGTGTGCAATTATTACCTGATACTTTTAAAATTCCTAACTAAATTATTTGAAAATTTTAAACAATTTTTTTAATAAAAGTATTTAGATAAATTTGTAAGATTGACAAAAAAATTGGTAAGAAAAAGAAAATTATTATTTAACTTTTTTTTAATTTTAATTTTATTTTTATTCTGTTATTCTATATTATAGTATATTATATTATAATTTTTCATACGATTAAGCATCAATGAATAAAATAATAATTAATTTGAATTTACTAATTTAATTCGATAGTATACATATTATATAAGATTAATATATTGATAATTAAAGATCAAAATTTTATTTTCTATAAGTATTATTCACTTACTATTTTTTTTAGAAAAGATATAATAAGTATATATGGATTTCAAAGCACCCAAATAATTATTTTTTAATAATTAGTTGATCTTTGATATTATTGATTTATTATACGATTAATGATTAATTGAAATACATTAGTGTTCATGAATGATTTGTATATCAATATTTTTTTGAATGTATGCGTTTATTAGTATTTAAAATTGATGAGATTATAGTACGTTTTAAAAATACATTTTGCAAAAATAAAAAAATAAAAAGTTTAATTATAATAAGAGATTTAAAGTATGAAAATTAATTCTTAATAAATTAATTAAAAAAATGAAAAACAATAGGATCATTATTTTAGTTAAATGAGTTTAATGAATTAAATTAGTAAATTATCAAAAAAAGACTTTAATGACATGTCATGCCAACTAAGAGAGAGTGATGTTTTTGAAGTCAAGTATATTTGGAGGAAAATGGTGATAGTAAGGTGATATTTTGATCCTAAATAAAACATAAATGATATTTTAAGGCAATTCTCTTAACCTAGGTGACCATTTAGGGAATTGACTCCAATTGAGATTTATTCATTTAGACATCTCATGTCATATTTGGTGTGTCATTTTGACACCTTTTTTTTATAATCAAATAAATATGTAAAATGTGTGTAACACATTTGTCGTGTTAAAATGACAAATTAAATAATGACATGTGACATAAATAATGAAAATACTTTAATATAATGAATTTTGAGTAAAACAAAAGGATCAATGACTTGGACATGTGACAATTTTTATCCAAATAAATTTTAAAAAATTAACCACTTGCACAGTTCATCCTATGTTGTTTGCTCCACCACCCCTCCCCACCAGATTGTCTTCTACACATTTCACAACCCCCACACTCAAATTATCTTCTCCACAGTTCACAACCCTCACACTCAAATTAAATTTTCCACTACCTACCCCCCCCCCCCCACAAACCATCCCAACCTCTCTCAATCCAGATTCTTTCTATAATTATTTTACAAAAACACAACCTTTTTATAAAAAATAATTTGTCTTACTTATGAACAAAGAGTTTCCTATATATATACACACAATATTCGTGGAGAAGGATAGCAAACAAAATAAGAAAAGTTGTTTAAGCTTGAAATATTTTGGTGTTGTAGCACCATTGGATTTATTTCTGTATAAAAGGAGTTTAAGTTTTAGAAAATGTTGGCTAAAATGGAAAAGAAAAAGAAGAAAAATAATAATATAAAAGTAGGTTAAATAAGTTCTCCACGCACTGGTAGGAGTTGTATAACACTCGCTATGTCATGTCAGTAAAAAGTGTTAAAATAACACAGAGACATGACATGAGGTGTAAAATGGACAAAAGTCTAGTTGGAATGTCCAAGTGAAAATTAGTGTCAACTTTAGAGGTCACCGTGGGCTAAAAGACGAATGTTTTTGTTTTACTTCCTCTATCCCAATTTATATGACACATTTTATATTTTGACAGTCAAACAATTTAAGAAATTTGCGCACGTAATCTTCAAATTTTTTTAATGAAATTTATATATTTGTAAAATACGAAAAAAGTACTATGAGTCATAATAATTCATAATTCAAAATGTTTATAAGATCTACCAAAATATTACAGTAAAAATAGACTTGTTTGACTCTTGAAATCCGAAAAGTGACATATAAAATAAGACGGATCGAGGTAGCACAATTCTTTAATTTTTACTTCACATATAACATATTTAAGACTATAAAATTTATCGTCTTAATTATCATATTAAATCAAACATGACAAAGTACTTGAAAGGAAGAAAATATATATTATTCGTCTCTATAATAAAATAAAATGATTAACTAATATGGAATAGACAAATCCTAAAGTATTACCTTTGGTTGAAGTATTGGAGGGAAGAGGTTCAGTATTACTTGCCAATGAAGCTATAGCTGATGATGACGTTTTCTTCTGCTTATTATCATCCACAGATGGGATGACGGTCCACTTCTGCGGACCGTCATCCACAACGACAGCAGTCGCTGCTGTCGTCTCGCGACGGAGGAGAAGGGAAGTCGAAGGACAGGAATTAGTAAAAGATTTTGTCACTTTTTTTGAATTAGTGGCCATAATTGTGATTAGTGATTATTAGAGAAAGGAGAAAAGTGGCTTATATTATGAAGAGATAATTTTGTAATTTTTAAAAGAAGACTTTTAAAGACCAAGAGAGACTATTTGTATCTTTAGATTTTATAGAGTTGAAAGACGGATCTAAGCAGACATTTTTTTTAAAAAAAAAAAAGAAAAAATTCCTGCAGTAGTGATATTATTTGGAAACATGTGCAGAACATAAATTTTCTGTTAAAAAAAATAATGATTGTCTCTTATAAATTATAAAAATTATGTTGATTATACGGGCATAACTAGGTGGATTCATGAGTTTGAACGAATTTATTAGTTTCTTTATAAATTTTATATTTATATTAGAAAGTTAAATAAATAAATATATATATATATATTAAGTGAACTCGCTAACGACATTGACGAACTTAACAGCACAGAGTGTTTATATCAAAATTCATTATTACGTGATTTAATAAAGTAAAAGCTCACGTTAATTAATTAAAATTACATAAAATGAATTGTTAATTTAAACACATAGCGTACATGTATTGAATTAATATAAATATTCGATACGAATAAGTTTCATCCCAAAATTAATTGACACCTTATTGATAACGAAGGAACGATAAAAATATTTTTCACACTAATATTATAGATTCAAACGACATATCAATCTTCAGTTTTAAATTTAGAACCTTCAAATTTTTAGTTCTAGGTTGAAAATACTCTTCTTCTTTTTTTTTTAGTCCTGAATCATGTGACTTTTTTTTTTGGTCTATTTTCATCTTTAATTAATTTCTTTTATGACTTTTTGAGTCCTCACGCATTTTTCTTTCACCTAGTTCAAATTTAGAAAGTAAAATAATTTAATTTTGATCATAAATTTATGTGATTATGATTAACGTAATAAATAATTATTCTACATATTTTAAAAGCTTGTCAATTCCACAACTCTAGCTAAAAATTATCTCATTCACAAATATATCTAAAAAATTTCCCCTTTCTTATTAGTGCAAGTTTTTTTCTTAAAAAAAAAACTATTAGGTGAATTCTGTTGCTATTTTGTTTTTCAAATTCTTTGAAACTCTAAGTTGCCCAAAAAAAACATCAACACGAATATTTTTAAAATTTAAAACTTGTAATGCATCATACATTGATTGCTAGCTACAAGAAAGTGCTAAATTTGTATCTATACTCTATGTATGATGAAAATATAAATAATTACGGGAAAAAATCGGAACTGTAAAAAAAATTGTTAAAGAAAAAAAAAAGCTCCTAATAAAATGGAAAATAGTGAATTTTTTTTAATAAATATGTGAATGAGATAATTTTGAGCTAAAATTTTGACAACTTTTTTAGTGTAAATAAAGGAATAATTATTTTTATTTTAATTATAATTAAACCTTGATTTAAATACATAAATCTTAACCTTTAATTTTTAATTATGACATATGGCTTCTCTGCAAATAAAAACATAGAATATAAAAAAAAAATAATGGAGAGGAACCTTAAATTTTATATTCTATTAAACTTATAATACGCTCAAATTGGGAAAAAAGTAATACTTAGGATCATTTCCAAGTTTGACTTAACTAAATAATTCATTTATAAAATTAAAATGATGTTGGATTTACAATATATATATATATATATATATATATATATATATATATATATATATATATATATATATATATAATATATATATAAGAATTATATTGGTTTATTATATCTTATGGAGAGTTGGACATGAAATAAATACTATGTCACCATTCTTTTAAAAAAAGAATTTTTTTTCGTTAAAATAAATATAATTAAAAAAATTATTAGAAATTTATACCAACTGTGTATCACCATATTCCTTTGTCTAAAGTTATGTTGCATTACTCGATTTCCCAATTTTCTCAACCATAATTTGCATTCAAGAACTATTTCCTTCGTTTTTTATTATTTATCCTTATGATCAAAAATATTTATTCTAATATATGGCAATTTACAAAGTTAAGATAGAATTAATTATTCTACTTGTCCAAATTTACGTGACACTTATTAAGTTTTAAGATTTAAATAAATTTTTATTTACCACAATTTTGTCATATATCTTTTTAATTTTCAAGTATGGAAACAAAATAATCAAAAAAAAAAAAACTTAAACATTCCATGCAAAAATTGACGGTCATAATAAAATTGTATGACACTCAAAATGTAATGGTGACACATAAATAAATTAGGATATTTTTTTTTTCATTTTTCTCTTAAATTAATTACTCTTTAAAATACAAATATTGTAGAATTTCAAAAAAAATAATCATTCATTGTTAATTTTGATATTAATAGATAAAGACACAATATATTAAAAAAAACACATAAGCTAAAAGATGAATTAATTATAATTCAATAAGTTTAAATAATAAAAATTTAGATGTTCAAAATGACGTGAAAAGTATTATAAATTATAAAATATATTAATATGATAAAAATAATTATGAAATATTAATCAAAATTCTAATAATTTTAAATTTAAAAATATTATAACAATTAAAAATAGACTGAGAAAATAATTTTTAGAGAGCATACACCAAGAAAATAAGTATATATAATATGAATAGGAGGAAGTGCATATTTATATTTATACAGACGGAAATCATTTTTTGGCATAAATATGGAAAAGCATTGGAAACTGATTTTACCACTATCTTATTTAATGCTATTTTTGTTATTATTATTTGAACCCCAATAATGTAGTACTGATCATATGGTTGGAGGGTGAGCTTTTAATGTTTGATAAATGGTAACTATAATATCAGATATTGTATACCTTTTCTATTTTTTATTTTATTTGACACTTTTTAACATTTCAAAAAATATATATTTAATTTTCAAATTAAGACTATAAATTAAATACCAACTAATTATTATGATAATTGTGATAATATGCAATCATTTTTTTTGAAAAATTATTACTCCTCTATGAGATCTCTCGCTTCTGCTTTTTTGGTGACTCGTACTCACTTAGGATGCTTATTATTCGAATAATTTCTCTCGTCAATAATATGCAATTATTGATTTTCAAAAGCTGTGTAAAATATAAATTGAATAAGTAAATGTGAATGGAAAAGATAATAGTTACATAAATTACGGATAATTATTATAAATTGTCAGCTAGGGATCATTTGGTACGAGGATGGGGTAGATAAAGTTATCAATTGAAATATTCTATGCTATTAGTTATTCCATATAGGATAACTTAATCCCATCATTATAGTACGATGGAAAAATAATTTAAATAATTTTAGAATTGACTAATACTCTTAATCAAACACTAAGATCACTAATCCTTCACTTTATCCTTAATATTGACTTTGTGTTATATATATAAACACATTTGAGTTGCATGTCATTTTACATTAAGAAATATCACTGTATAATATATATATTTAGCAATTTTTTCTGATGAAGTCATGCCTCGTGAATAAGAATATTGCAGAAAAAAGATAAAAGAGAAGATTATCATTTGTTAAGGGATCATATAAAATGAATGAAAATTCTTTTATTTGTAAAAAAAAAAAAAAACTAATGTAATCCCAAAGTTACTAACTAGAAATTTATTATAATATAAATATATTTATAAAAATTAGTTATATTTTAAAACCCTAAATTTGACTACAAAATTTTTATATAATTATTTATTAGTAAAAGAAGTAATATACTCTTAAAAATGAATAAGGAAAAAAAATAATCATCTAATTTTAGTAAAGCAATGATCAAAAGTATAAATTATTTTATTTGAATATATATATATATATATACTCCATAATTGTGAAAATATGTATTACTTTTCATAATTGAAAAGAGCTATATAAAATGTGATTTTATTACCTTATCCATACTTCTTTCTTTTTCTTTTTTTTTCTTTTACCAAAAAAGGATGATAATAAAATCCATTGTATTATTATCATAAATAATTTTATCATCTAAAATAATTTTTAAAAAACTAACAACTTGTTCACTCATTTTTTTTTTTATATATATACACACACACTCCATAATTGTGAAAATATGTATTACTTTTCATAATTGAAAAGAACTATATAAAATGTGATTTTATTACCTTATCCATACTTCTTTCTTTTTCTTTTTTTCTCTTTTACCAAAAAAGGATGATAATAAAATCCATTGTATTATTATCATAAATAATTTTATCATCTAAAATAATTTTTAAAAACTAACAACTTGTTCACTCATTTTTTTTTAAAAAAGTTGAAAACTACAGAAGAATAATATCAAAAATCTGAAGTATTAGAGTAAACAAGAAAAGTTTGGATGAATTAATTTTAAGCTTATTAAAAGTTTGTAACGACCTGTTTAGTCGTTTTGAGCAGCAGATTTTATTTCTGGAAAACTGGCTGAGACGACGGACCTCACGACGGACCGTCATGGGTACGACGGACCGTCGAGGGGTCTCGTTTCAAAACACTTAGAAATTCTGAAATTTGGGTACTGAAATCGACTCTCTGAACTTCGTGACGAAAGTGCAGGACGGACCGTCACAGACTCTTCAGAGAATTTCAGTCTCTGAACTCTGTGACGGAGCAGCAGGACGGACCGTCGCAGGCACGACGGCCCGTCACAGGCTGCGTAATCCCAGTCTGGGTCGGATTTCTTTATACGTTTTAAGGGATGTTTTGGACTATTCCTACTTTAATTATAAGGTTAGTGAGTTTATGTTAATAAGTCTAATTACTTGGGGGTTAAAAGAGGTAACCTTGAGTAAATTAGTGGGTTATTATTGCCATC